GTCTGTAAGACCTGCAATCCAGCACTCAGGGTTCCTGTCTCTGCCTGCTGAGCCTGAGTGGAGAAGGGGTGATGGTTAGTTGTTACCTTGACACAAACCATTCACCTAATAAGAAGCAATGTTAACTGAGGAATTGCCCCACAGGTTTGGCCTGTAGGCATGTCTGTGGTGCATTTTCTTGATTGACATTTGATGTGGGAGGGCCCAAGGGCCCAACCCACTGTGGGCCATGCCATCCCTGGGAAAGTGGTACTGGGTTGTCTAAGCAAGCAAGCTGAACAAACTTTGGAGAGCAAGACAGTAAGCAGTGTTTCTCCGTGGTTCCTGCCCTGACTTCTTTCAATGATGGACTGTGATCAGGACATGTGAGCCACATGAACCCTCCCCCGTCTTCCCAAAGTGGGTTTGGTGAGCATTTTAAACTAACAGCAACAGACTGGAGAGATGGCTCAGCAGTGGAGAGCACTTACTGCTCTTGCAGAGGACCCAGGTTCACTCTCTGGCACCCATGGGGTTCACAGCAACCTGTAACATCCAGGGATGATACCTTTTCCCGACCTCAGCAGGCACCAAGCATGCACATGGTGTACATACATATATGCAGGCAAAACACTCCCACATAAGATTAATAAATCTAATAAAACTAAAAACTATCACAGCAAAAAGAAGGCAAACTAGAACAGAGGAGTGTAACACCTGTGCTCCATCCAGCCTGGACATGGCCGTGTGCGGCCTGAGCCCGGGACACCTGTGCTCCATCCAGCCTGGACATGGCCATGTGCAGCCTGAGCCCGGGACAATGCTCCCACTCCAAGTTCTCAATCTGAGTCACTGCCAGCAGGCTGGGAAATCTTGTTCTTGAACAGCAACTTATCTGGGGCACATCGGCCAGGGATGTCCCCCCAAAGCCCTCCACAGGCTGCTGAGCCTGATTCCACCTCATCACCCTAGATCCTTCTGTTCGGAGACCTCTGTCCACCTTGCAGGCCCCTGAACACAGTCCTACCACAACCCATTTCTCCACACATCCTCACGAGCTTCTGTCAAGAACTTTACTTCGGAGCAGTCCCTGTCTTCTTCCACCCCACAACCTGTGCTCACGCAGGGTGCCTCCCAGCTCTCCAGGTCCATTCTGGTCCTACCAGCCATGGCCGCTTTGGGGAATAGAGGAAGGCCAGAGTGCTATTCTGCAGAGGGTCCCCCCACTTTTGTTCTGTTTCAAAGTCTCACTCTATAGCCTATGCTGACCTTGAACTTACATTGATCCTCCTGCCTCTGCTTCTAGCACTATGACACCCCTCCAGTTTGCTTGCTAGATTCCTCACGTGTCAATAGACAGATGCATCATGTGCTAATCTCTCCCACAAGCAGCCTCAGGGGAGGTCTGGCTGTTCCCTGCTATGCCACCAACTTTACTGTGTCTGCTCAGTGAACAACTCACAAATGACTGAGAAACATATTTTTGAGCCGTGTGTGTGTGTGTGTGTGTGTGTGTGTGTGTGTGTGTGCAGGTGCGTGCGTGCGTGCGTGCGTGTGTGTGTGTGTGTGTGCACGCGCGCGCGCATGTGTGGTTGGAGCAACAATTCTGGTAAAAGGCTTATGGGAGATGAAGGTCCTGGGGCTTCAGGGTGCCCTGAGTAGCTTATTCCAGCCTCCCAACAGGTGATGGGCATAGGGCAGCTTTCAACATTTCTATTACACTTGTCATTGAAGTGTGAGTGTGTGCATTGCTGAGATAGGGGAGAGACTTGATTAAACCTCCAGGGCATCTGCTTTCCAATTCTCTGTGTAGATCTGGCTGTCCTGGAACTCACTCTGTAGACCAGGCTGGCCTCGAACTCAGAGATCCGCCTGCCTCTGCCTCTCGAGGGCTGGGGTTAAAGGTGTGCGCCACCACCGCCTGGCCTGTTGCCCATTTTTACTTCAGTTGCAGTACACTGCTCTCCTATGGAGTGAGCTTGTCTGTAAGTAATGAGGGCAGTGGTGCCTGGCTCTTCAGGAATTGGGAGGTAGCTCAAAGCAGTGGAAATCAGCAGCCCTGCTCTTGGGCCCAGCAAGTGCTCCTTAGCTGAGTGCTCAAAGGTGTGAAAACCACCTCAGCAAGCTACGCCACTTCTGAACACAGGCACTGAAGACAGCGTGCTGATCCTTACGGCCCGGACCTCCATCCACTGAAGTCCGACCCTTACCCCTACCCTAGGGCATTTCTGCAAGGGTCAGTCCAGTTCCACTGGGCAGGGAGGGGAGGCTGGCCATTCCCCAAGGTACGCTTGTGATCAGGCCATGATAATTTCCTAAGGCTCTGCTGAGGCAGGTGCCTGGCTTGATAGCTATTCACAGCCTTCATATTGGGGGACAGGAGTTACACCACATGGCAGTGGATATTGCCTTCAGCTCACCAGGCTTAACTAGACCTTCTCTCTAGACTTCTCCAATGTTGGCTCAAGCTGGGGCCTCCTGGGCCAGTCAGCCCCGTCTGAGCAGCAGGGCTAGCCTGGGAGCTCAGCTTTGCTGCCCAGGAGCCAGCGATGCCCTCACCACTGTGCTGCTTTTGTCGGGCTGGGATGCAAGGTGCATTATGCATTAAAACCCTTTGGAGATGTTTGGGGAGCACCTCCATACTCCTCCGCATCCAGGATCGGCTGGGACGGCAGGAACAAGGAGTATGGCAGAATGGGGCTCAGGACAGGCTAGACCCAAGGTCAGGATGAAGACTGAAAGTGGGTGATGGTTGAGATGGGTTGGGTCCCACAAGCCTGGGGCCACTGCCCTCATGGGTCTTAGCCAGGACCATTGTTTGGGGACAATAGCTCTCCTGATCTAGGTTCCTCTCCCAACAGGAAAACCATAAAATCTGCCCATTACCACTGCCCACAGCCCCTTGAAGGCCTGGGCAGACCTCAGGCGCCGAGTGCAGCTTGGAACCTGGCTCCACCCTTTGCCAGCCTGTTCCAGCCCAAGCACCCTAGGGACATTTTTTTTTTTTTTTTTTTTTTTTTTTTTTGGTTTTTCAAGACAGGGTCTCTCTGTGTAGCTTTGGAGCCTTTCCTGGAACTCACTCTGTAGTGCAGGCTGGCCTCGAACTCACAGAGATCTGCCTGCCTCTGCCTCCCGTGTGCTGGGATTAAAGGCATGTGCCCCAGGACCAGCTATCTCTTAAGGCATGTAGCTCAGGGTATAGACACAGGTTCTGACCACCAAGGAAACAGTGGCCCACCTCACTAGAGCTCAGTGACATGTAAAGGGCTGGGCTCTTCCTGAGGACGCTATGGGCTGAGACCCTTACCTGCCTAGTCACTTCCCATAGGATAGCACCCCTCCAACCGCCTTACCTAAAGCTGACTTGATACCTCAGTGCCCCCTAAGAGGCCAGGGCCCTTTTGCAGAGTAACTGAGTCCTGTGAATGGGACAGACGAGGGCTAGAGGGTGCTGGCTGTATGGTGAGTACCTTGGAGGTGTGCTACTCCAGGAGCTGTGTGCCAGCCCACACCCCTGCCAGTCCTCTAAGCTTGGCTGGTCCTGATGCACCCTACTGGTCGGTCTGCAGAGCAGGGGTGGGTTCAGTGGTAGGGCCAGTCCTGCTGTACCACCCAAGCACTGGAAGCACTGAGGTCAGCTCTGACTGCTGAGTATGTCCAGCAAGGTCCTTCAGGAAACAGTGCTGTGTGCAGCCACCGGAGGGTGCAGTCCAACCAACCACTAGGCTGCCTGTGGACAAGTACTCCAATTCACCAGCCAGCAGCTGTATACCCGAAGGTCCTGTACCTCTGAGGCTCTGTCTGCTTAGTATCTGGCTTCTCCATTTACTGTGCCCCCCACTTCTGCCCAGCTGGGCTGACATAAGCTTCCAGCTCACCTGTCCTGCTGTTCCCCCATCCTCATCTGGGGTTTACTGGGCCAGAGCAGTGTAAGCTAAGGGCTTGGTAGCTGTGGGCTCTGATGTGTTGCCCCACAAAGCAAAGGTACTGAATATTAAACTCCACCTAGCTCAAGACCACCAGGGGAGGCTCAGGTAGCTACTATCTCGAGGAAGTATACATTCTCATGAGTGCTCAAACTCATGCTTGCCTACCCCCAGGGCAGGACACATAACCTTCTAGGTCAGGTGGGGATCCCAGTCCTGACAGGGATAAGCAAACTTCCAGCACCACAGGGAGCAGGCTACCTCCTCCAAGGTGCTCCCAGGCAGGATTATCCAGGGCTCTCCTTGAGTAAGCCTGTTGTCCTTGGCTGGGCCCTTGCATTCTTGGGAGGCTGCTAAGATAGGTGCGAAGGGCCATGCAAGCTTCAGAGAAGGCTGCAGAGACCTGTCCAAGACCTTGCCCTTGCTCCAGCCACAGTGGGAGTCCACTCCTCTCACACAGTGTGGGAATGGGGCATGGGTCCAGCTGGATGGATGTTTGCCACCCTCTGTTCTGTGCCTCTTTGCTTAAGGTAGCTGTCACCAGATACTTGGCTAGATGACAGGGACCCTGCAGGAAACTCCAGAGGCCAAAGAAGCAGGGTCTTAATGGGTGTTGATACTGAGGAAGTGGGGTGCCTGCACCTTAGGAACACCTGTCAGACCCAGCATTCCTCCTTGTCCTCCCTTCTTAGAGCCATAGGACAGGGGCTAAGCAAAGGATGGGGAGCTGAGGGAGACTCTTCTGTACCCTCTGCAGGTTCCTTCCTGCATGGTGGATAACCTGGGTTCTAATTGCTCTCTGCTCGGCAGTTTAGCCTGACTTAGGGGCACTGGACCATGGTGTTGTAAGCAGTAGCTGGAATTAGGTTTAGGGTGGTTTCTTTTTGTTGTTGGCGGTAGGTTTTTGGTTTTTTTGTTTTTGTTTGTTTTTGTGGGGTTTTTTGTTTGTTTTTTTGAGACAGGGTTTCTTTATGTAGTCCTGGCTGTCCTGGAACTTGCTCTGTAGACCACGCTGGCCTCAAACTTACGGAGATCCATCTGCCTCTGCCTCCCAAATGCTGGAATTAATAGGTCTCAGCAGTAAGGAGCCGGACACAGGGGGTGCACATCTTTAATCCAGGCACTTGCAAGGCAAATACCAAGGACATGACCAAAGGAGGTACATGGTCAGAGCTCATTCTCTACCTTCTAACTAGGTATAAAAGGAGTGTCCCACCCCCACAGGGCTTATTTCACTCCTGCTCCGGTAGGTATACAGTTAGGTAAAGCAGCTGGACAGGAACCTGGGGTCCAGGGTAGGCTGCACATGGTTCTCACTGGGCCCAATGGCTCAGGACAGAAGAGCCACAAGTGGGAACAGTCCCTCACTTTCTTGTACTGCTATGACCTCTCGTTCTGTGGCCCAGCTCCTGTAAGCAGCCCCGGTTACGTCTAGAGACAGGCGCCCACACTAAGCTCAGATGTGCAGGCTACTGGGAACCTTTGCTGACTGCTACTGTCCTGCCCCGGTGATCACTGGGTGATCACCGGGGCTGAAGATGGTGGTGACCACTAAGTACTAGGTACCTCAGTTCAGGTGGCTGGCAAGAACCCTGGACAGTGCAGACTACAGTAGCTTCCCCTGCACTTCCCTCACCCTAGCAGAAAGGCAGTAGGAGAGGGTAGAGGAGGCAGAGAGAGAGTACAATTTCCTTCTTCTCAGCACTCCAGTGTGTACACAAGACAGGGTCCCAGTCTAGAATGCAGGATCCAATGGACCCCCTCTTCCCTCTTTGAAGGTCCAGTATGGTGAGGCCTGGTTCTGCCCCAGGAGGCTGCCTAAGGCACTGCTCTGCATTCTGGGAAGATCTGAGGCAGGGGGATCATGCTGTGGTAACCTCAGTCAGAAAAGAGCACCTAGAAATAAACCAACCGTATGCAGAACAGGGTCACACAGACCCAATGCCTCCTTAGCCTCACATGAGTGCTGGTGGCGGCTCACATACAAAGCGGTGCCCTCAGCTCAGAGGTACCCTTGCCCACTCCACGGCTGCCCCCTACTGGGACCTTACTCCTCAGCACCTGGGCCTCTCAACCATTTCAGGATCCGCCCACTATGCTACTCACCCACCTTGCAGGGACAGCAGATACGGCCCCTTCCCTCTGCCCTGACTTTCTTCAACCCTCTCCTCACAAGACCATTTCAGCCCGACTGGCTCTTGCTCATTTTTAGCATTGACAACACCCCCTTCCTGCTTTCTCATGACAGACAAGGCAGAGCTGGGGAGCAGGGCTCAGCTTCTGTTCAGGATACTTGTTTCTGTTCCTGCAGCTCTTACCTCCACCCCTCAGCCCGGTACTCTCTCCATGCCATAGGCAAGTCCTGTCACATATAAGCATACAAACATCCTAAAAATACTCTGGACCAGTGTCATGGCTGCCTACCATGATTGTGACCTCACTCTTGTGAAGCTGGCCCCACCCTAGGATGGACCCTTGATTATGGTTCCACACTCCCGTACACAATCTAAAAGCATTTTGCAATCCTCTCATCCAAATCACTCCGTATCTGTCCCACCTATCTACTTCCATCTGCAGTCTGCCCCCCCCCACCTCAGTCATCTCAGGCCTGGCCCCCCACCTCTTGATTCGAAACAGAGTCAAATATTCTGCCTCAGCCCAGGTAGTGAAGACTCACATCCAGGGCTGCGTCCAGGAAAGGAAGGCCCGAGTTAAGTGCACTGAGGATAGTCCTGGGCCTTCTCGTGAGGAAACAGCTTGCAGGCTTTCTTGACAGAGGGCTCCGTTCCAGGTGACAGGGCAGGGCCATAACCCAGAACTCCACAGGGGTCGTCTGGACATTAGCAGGAAGCTGCATGCAGATGCATGTGGTCTGCTGGTCTCCGCTTTCTGAGCGCTGCTGATGAACTGGACTAATCTGCTACTGGGCAGCCTCAAGGGCTCCTGGGAGCACAACTCATGAGTCCTAAGCAAGAGGCTGAGGCCTATAATGCTCCTGGTGGTTCAGACGGTGAACAGACATTAGAGGTGGTAGAGAGCTCGTGTCCACCTCAGCAGGGAGCTGGGGCTGCAGTTAAAGGCAGGTGCTCCAGACTACAGCTGCTAAGCACAGAGCAGTAACTGCCACGTCTTCTGCCCAACCCTACCCTTCCAGGGTGTGAAGGGTGGGCAGAGAACACTGGCAGCAGGCTAAGGCCAAGGTTCTACTTCATGAGTGAAGGAAGCCCCTTAGTGCTGCCATCTCCCTATGACAGGAGCTCACAGAGCCTGCCTGAGGATTTCTGGTCAATCAATGACTACAAGGCTATGCCATGGAGTGGGATCCTGACCTAGCTACTCCCTGACCATGTTTCATTACACATAAACACACAGCTGGCTTCCTTTGCTGGGCAAAAATATTCTGTACATTGCTCAAAACATGATTCCCAACAGTAGGTATGATGTGGCCATGGTGTGGCCATGGGAAGAGTGCTTCAAATCTAGTGGGGCAGTGCTTGACTGGTTGAGTCCCAGAAACCATGCCTGTGAGCCCCATAAAACACTTGGAGTCTAGCACCAGGATGCTGCCTGGCCTTGAGGTCCACTCAGTAGCCATCATCCTCGTCACCATCACAGCCGTAATCTGCAAAGCACAGAGGACAGTTGCTGAAGTCTAGGCAGCCCTCTGGTGCCAGAGCGAGCCACGGTCACATCCCCAGCTCCCAACACCAACCCCACTGCCTCATCTCACAGGCCACACCACCTGAAAGACCACCATTTCACCCTATTCCCAGAAGTCTTTGGGGCTGGTAGACTGGTCATGCGCCCTGTATGGAGGCTTTGGCGCCTTCCTGGGCTCTGTAAACAGTATGGCCAACCCAGACATTTCTCTACTCGTTCAACAGCCCGCCTTCTGACTCCCCACAAGCCCAGAACCTTGACCTTCATGGTAGATGACTCACCTTCCCTGTGGAGCTGGCCTCCTAGCCTTTGCCTAGCTCCTTTTAGCATACTCAGGAGCCTCAAAATCAACATGGCCGATTTTAAGTGTCCTAGTTCCCTTCTTTGTAGAGAGAATTTTAGTTTGTAGCCAATAGGCTCATATTTGGAAATTACTTGGGTGGATGGCTTTGTCTTTATTTCTCTGGATGCTCCCTCAAAGTTCCTGTACTGTGCCCATAACCACGTGGGCCATACCTACCATTGCCACCCATCATCTGCAGAGCACTGACGCAAGGCTCTCCATCCTCTTCTTCGGCGTCCTCCTCGTCTGCATCCTCCTCAGGATGGTACGACACAGGGCCGCTCTCCACCAAGACCGCTGATGGCTTGATGGGCTCAGCGCCCAGGGCAGGGGGACTTAAGAGCAAGGCCTGGAAAGAGAGAGCCTGTCTCTGAGATAAAAGCAGAGTGTGTGCTACCCTCCTGCTGACTGTGGGACCCTCAAGTTCTCTCTTCAGAGCTCCCACCCTACATGTGAGCTGGTCAGTGGATTAGCCTGCCCCCTAGCATCCACTATCTCCTTCCGGTTTCCTGGGGCTATGAAGTCCCAGCCCTCCTTTCTTCCAAAGCTGTTATCACCTGAGGGAGGGAGGGAGGAAGGGAGGGAGGGCCCTGTGGTATGCAATCTAGCCTCTGCCTACACTAGACCACAGTGGTGGACAGTTTACCCTCAGCCGCACGCCAGCAGCACATAACTTGCCCTTACCACCTGCCTGCTCCACTTCTGTGACCCAGGCACCCTCACACCCTGAGCTTCAGGATTCTCAGCAGGAGCCAGGCCAACACTTGAGCAGCAACCAACTGGGCCTCTCCCTGCCAAGCCTGATGGCAACTTGTGCTCCTGAGCCCTGCCCTGGTTGTACAGGACAACATACCTCTCCCACAGCTGCCTTCTTAGCTGGCTGTGTAGACACCAGAGGCCTCAACCTGAAAGAAAGCATAGAAGCAACCTCAGTTCAGGCTGGTGTAGGAGGGAAAGGGAGAGGGGGGCAGGGGGAGGGAGAGAGAGAGTGTGTGTGAGCGAGTGTGTGAGTGTGTGTGAGTGTGTGTGAGTGTGAGTGTGTGTGAGTATGTGAGTATGTGTGTGTGTGTGTGTGTGCGTGTGTGTGCGTGTGTGTGTGCGTGTGAGTGTGTGTGTGTGTGTGTGCATGCGCGCGCGCGCGTGTACCACACAGAGAATGAGGCTCTGTCCAGGCAGGCAGGCTCACAGTCTGTCGTCTCAGGTCACACCTGCCTGCTGACCATCACTTACTAGCAGGACTGAGGCCCTCGCTCGACCAGGCAGATGCCCGGCCTCATGGCAGGTCCAGCACACTCTGGGGCCCACCCTTGCCACTCCACAGGGAGACCTCCCCAGAGACACAGAACCCTCACCACCTCTGCTAGTGTCGCCACCAGTCTTACCCCAGTCTCTCTTCCTACCCTTGGCCTCCTTCTGACCTTAGATCTCACCTATTCCTCAGTTTTACTACCTGAAATACCACTGCTGCTGTGTCCATCCTGATTTGACCCGCTGTCTGGCATTAATCAATGCCTGCCATCATTCTGTCATAGATAGGAGATATATAAACACAATATAAACATGTAAGATACAGCTGGGTGGTGGTGGCACATGCCTTTAATCCCAGCACTCCAAGAGTTTGAGGTCAGACTGATCTACAGAGTGAATTCCAGGACAGCCAGGGTTACACAGAGAAACCCTGTCCAAAACCCCACCCCACAAAATGCAAGATCCATCAGGTGCCTCCCCTTTTGGCCATGTAGTGGGCACCCCAAAGTCAAGGTGATGGACTGTCTTTCCACCCCCTCTGAACAGGTATGTGAGGTCCTGGGCAGTGACCATGTGCAAGATTCTATGACCCCTCTCCCTGGTCAATCTGCAGCCAGGGAAAGTGAGGAAGAGGGATAGACAGTTATGAAGAGGAGAAAGAGGTGGGCAGACCCACATCTGGCCACCTGCCTCCACCTGGGCTGCCTTAGACCTCCCTAGGACTTCCAAACACAAAGGTACCTTTGGCATCATGTCCACAAGAAACAGAAAGGAAAATGGGTCACCCATTCCAGAGCAGACAGGCCACACAGATCAGTGTAAGTGGACTCTGGGCATGGGGAGGGTCAAGACTCTTTTCTTCTAGGGCACAACTATGTAGGTAGGTGAAGGCTTGAATCATGCTCTGCACTGGGCCCTCTGAGGCCCAGCCTTGCCCAGCTGTGACATACTGGATATTCTGATGATACTGAAAAGATAATCTCGTAGCAGGCAGATGGCACAGAACACCTTAGCGAGGGAGCTGAAGCCTTTTTACAGGTGTTCATGACCTTCTTAGGACCCATGCAGACCCAAGAGCAGTTGGCCAAGGCTCACAGAAGAATCTGTAAATGCCTAGAGAATAGGTTCAGCATGGCATTACTCAGATCACAGCTTCAGTGATAATCCCTATCAACCACAGGCCTAGGGAACCACACTGCTGTTAATCTCTCAGCCTTGACCATAAATGCTACATTTTCATAAACACCCCATGACTGAGGACTCTGGCCAGGACACTTTCTGTAGGACAGCCACAGAGCAAGTGAGGGCTGCACGTGGGATCTGGGCACTGCCTCTACTGAGCTGAAGCCTGCTTGAGTCTGACCTGGGAAACCTGTGTAAGTCTGGAGCACTGGATCCATTAGGGTAACACCTTCCCAGAGGTAGATGCTGAGTGCTACACCAACCTCACCTGCTAGACTGCTCCTACAGCCCGGTGGTCTTTTTCCTTTCCCTGATGGAACTATCTGAACTGGCTGTGCTGAGTAAGGCAGACATGAGTGCAGCGGTGGGTATAGGCAGGGGGCATCCCAGCCTTGAGACCTTCATAACCCCTCAGGATATCAGATATTCACAAACTCTGACTCTAGCAGGCTTCCCCTGGCCACATGGCCACAAAGGAAGCTTGAATCCCTGTACTAGAACAAGACTCTCCCAGCACTGACAGGAGCAGCCTAGCTGAGCTTCAACTTGGACCTGTGAGTGCTCAGAGCCATCAGACTCGGCACCCATTCCTAGCTACAGCTGGACAGACAAGGATGGTGATCTGGCCACAATAAGCAGAACCGAGAATGCCTCCTGGTGGCTGAGGCTGGGGCTGGGCGGTTAGGGAAGGCCGAGTCCTGGTCCCTGCCCCATCTGACCTACATGTGCAAGGAGAGCTGCAGTGGGAACTCAGCCCACAGCTCTCTACTCAGTCATCTCAAAGAGGGGCTGAGAAAACCCAGCTCCCTTCTGAGGAAGCTCCTACCCGAAGCAGCCGTGCTGACTCAGCGCTCAGTACAGCAGCACTGATGGGGGCGGGGGGGACAGCCAACCTGAGGCACCAAGGGGTCAAGGGAAGACCTCGAGGCAGCAGGGGACCCCAACAGGTTCTGGGAACATAACGAATGGAGAGAAATTAAGTACCTGCCCACACACAGAAGCAGCTGGAAGGAATCACAGGAAGATCCTGTAGAGGGCGCCGCATCAGGGCCTAGGAACTCCAGACCCTATGACAACTGTGCCACCAACTGGGGCAGGGGGACTGGGACCACACAAGGCGGTGAGAGTGGCAGTGGGAAGAGGCCTAGCCTAGACATCTCATTCTCAGTTCATGAAAAAAATAACGGGCCATGTACAAAAATGTTCTCAAGAATCTGGCCCAGCAAACACTACCAGGCTGTACAAAGTAGAGCAACCATCAGCTTGGAGACAGGAGACTTGGAACACCTGAGCCAACTGTAGGAAGGGCTTCCTTCAGACAGACCCTGTCTACAGCATCCACCCAGAAGCCTGAGTGTGGCTTTCGCCTTACTCTTTTTGCTAAAGTAAGTTCCAGCTGGATCAGACTTAGGATACAAAAAATGAAAACACCAAGATATTAAAGCCTGGAGTGATGGTGCACTGGAGAGAGGAGAGAGGGGAGAGAGGGGAGAGAGGAGAGAGAGGGGAGAGAGAGAGAGGAGAGAGAGAAGAGAGAGAGAGAGAAGAAAGAGACAGACAAAGTAAGAGAGAGAGGG